AGCAAAGGAATAATAGTGCTGTCCTCCATGATCAGATCACAGTACCACTCTAAAGAAAATCCTCCTCCTCCTCCATAATCTCCTCCTCCTCCTGTGAATAACTGGGACAAGCTCATGGTCATCATGAAAGCTTTGAAATCCCCAAAACAAACAGTCAAGGGCATTCCTGAAAATTAGGTCCAGGAGCTCCGACAGAGGTTCCACTGAGTAACAGGGCATCCAGTACATGAGCAGGTTTCCCAGATTCTCTCTATAGCTAAGCTGCACACAAAAAGATTCACATCACATCATCTCAAGAGCAAGATCCCTGATTACCACAAGGCTATCTTCGAAATTACAATCACTATCACCCATCCCCAACCTTGGAATTGTAGTTGCTGTAGGACCCAAAACTTGGGAAAGAAAATCTTCAAGAAGGCCAGTGTAATGAATGGCCAACTAGAAAGATGATTGTGAAAGAAGGGGGAGGGGGGCTCAGTGCTCCTGTCATGCCCTTTGGCCTCTACTTCACTGTCTGGTTTGGTTCATCACAAATTACATAAAACTTTCTACTGGCAGCATCCATCTTCCTGAAGGAAAAAGTGGTTTTTGGCATCATCTTGGAAAATTAACAATGTAGCATTGTTGGTACTAGTAGGTACCAATAGGTACTGGAAGCTAGTAGGACCACAAGCTGGTCCTACTAGCTTCGAGACATGTTAACCAAGGAACACCATTCCTGTTTCCATTTGAGATGATGGAACAGATGCATCAATCTTCTAATTCAAAAATCAATTTGATTAAAAATAAGAAAAAAGAAACAGAAAAAAAATCCTTTTAACATTAGGTAATCAAATGATAGAATAAATTATTTTTCACTGATAAAATCACAAACGTCTTAAACATCAGTTGGTCACAACATGCAATGGGGAGACAGGTAAAGATTCAGATGAGCAGGATATAAGGTTCATGATGTACCAAATATACACAAATGGAGTTAGTACAAAGACAATAAACTTCAGATACAGAAATCAGAAGTTAATTCCTTGAAACAATTAGCAAACACATTCAGAATCCACAAAACTCTTAAAACAAAGGAGTCTGACCACCGATCCTTGCTTACAACTTTTACCTTACCTCAGAGAGGTACCTCACTTCTCCACTAGCCTTTCCTAACGAATTCATGACTCCCATAGAGGACATCCTTCAACCAAAGTTTTAGGAGCACTTCCACTGAGCTCCTGTTGACTCCCTAAGAAATGTTTGGATTATAGTTTGGCATTTTATCTCACTTCTGCCTCAGGGACATTTAGCTCTGCTCTTAGCACAGGTCCCAGACAATCTCGTCTTGTCTTTCCCTCCACCAACTCCACCCAAGCAGGCTTTTCCTCTGCTCCCTGAAGATTGCTTGGCTCCAATTTGCACCATCCCTCACCTCCAGGTCCAGAGAAGATTAACCTAGAGCAGCTGCCCTCCCACTTAAGCATTGCTTAGCTCTCTGCTTTTTCTGGAAAGTAGCTCACCAAAACCACATGGGTGTTTCCAGTCAACATCTGGCTTGGGTCTTTCTGCACTTTATTAGATGTTCTTTCCCATGCAATCTCCCAGGAAAAAAAAGTCTTCCTGAACCAGCAAGGGCAAGGCTGAGAGGAGTCTCTTTTGCCTTACCTAGGCAAGTTTGGACTTGTTTCCCTTGCTTGTCCATGTGTTCCCCCACCATGGCTTTTATATGAATCAGTCTTGAAGTCATGATGGACTCACCTGTCTGCTCAGTCATCTGGGTTTGTATACTGAGTGAACAGGGGTTTTGCTTATGTGCATCTCAGGCTGGATTGAACATGGAGAAGGGAAGGGCTCACCTTGCCTTAGCTGAGTGAATGAAGTTTTGGCCAATCAGATTTTGGTAATACATGCCAGGTTCACCCACTCATCCACTATTAGATCATGGATTAATGCTTTTTTTTTTTTTTTTACAGACAGTCCTGGTGTTTTATCAATAGCACTATGAGATTAAGGTTACCAGCAGTCTGGCCTCCAGGACCCAGGAATGAGGCTGTTAGGCAGCAATTAATTAAAAAATCTGCATCCAAGTAGGGAGTAGGCAAAATGGCACCCTGTTCCTAAAGTAATAAAATCAGGAAACAGTATGTCCAGGTGAAAATCCTTGTCAGAAAACATAACATATTCATTGGTGATAGAATTAACAACACACAGCTGTCCAATTTTGGGTCTCTTTGCCTCTTCAAATTGGTCTTCTGGGCAACACAAGGCTAAGAGTTTCTTGAGAGAATGCTGGGCCCATTTTTAAAATATAAATCTAGCATTATTTCAAAAGAGTGCTAATCTCATGTATGTCTGACTGGCACTCTCCAAAGCATTAGTCAAGTTTTATGTGGGTAAATGTATCTGTGGAAGCCAGGCGTCCTGGCTCTCGTGCAGCACAAGCCTTATTGGGCATGGAGGGCGATGTCCAGCAACCAACTTCATTGCTAGACCATGTGTGCAGGAAAAAGTGTGTCAGAAAAGGGAAAACTCTTATTTTAAAACTGGAAGAGCTAAAGAAAGCCTTGCCTCTGCTGTGGGCTGGTATTCCCTTAGATGAAAGTAATATCAGAAGGACATATCTACAAATCCTAACAGATATCCTTGTCTGAAATCATATAAATCATAAATCAGGAAGGGGTTTTGATGAACTAAGGCAAAAAGTGGTAAAAAGTGCTCTAGACCTCCCATTTACAATCCTCCCATTTATAAATACAGTCTGAAAATTTAACTCTTCCTCAAAAAAATTAAATTGACATCACCTTCAGTTAACCAATACTGACTACTGTTTCTTTAAACTTTTTGAATGTGTCAGATGACATTAACTGACTTTCCCTTTTCTTTCAGTGGCATCTACTTTTCTGTGAGTCTTTCCTAAATCAGAGGTACAAAGTCCAGAGTCTGCAACATCTGTGTCCCTGGGCCATCAGTTCAGCAGTCAGTGCCAATCCTTCATCCCTTTACTGCCAGTCCCCAAAGTGCTTCAGAGCCACCTGCTGCTGGAAGCTAATGGAGTGCTCTTGTGAAAATCCAGCATCAAATCTCCCCCTTCTATCTTGGCTTGGTAGATCTATCTTGGCATGATAACTGGGTTGCCATTTTGCTTTTCAGTACATATATGATTTCAGAAGAACATTAACATGAGCATAGTTTTTATAACAAGCTGCAGCTTGTTATAATCTTAGCATTTAAGCTTAACACTTCTGTAAGACTTAACTTGTAAATCTTTTTACATGTTTTTCAGTTTATTGCTTTAGAGTTTTCTTCTTGCAGATCTATTAGAATTTAAATAGTATAAATGATACATCATGTAGAAAGTTAGAAACCTTTGGATAAAAGCATTTCCAATGAAATACCAAACTTGGATAAAAGGTCAGTGATGATGGAATTAATAAACTGGCTAGAATTTGATTTTACATGGATAATAAAGTGTGAAAGTACCATTTTCCTTTAAAATAAAAATTCAATGCTTTAAGTGAAACTTCATCTAATGGTGTATACATGTCAGGGTTTATAAAAGAAGCCTGTTTATTTCCCAGTCATGCAGGGTTTTGTAGCCCAAGAGGGCCCTCAAATGGTATTCCGGACAAACCACGCTCAAATATTGCACCAGGGAGCTAGTTGAGGATGAAGCTTTTATAAGACATAATGCATTTTCCCTAGCCTAGCAGCAACCAATCAGTCACTAGCATGGAGGCATGCAGCTAATGAAAGTATGTGAAGAGGAGGCAAACCTCTCACCACTCCACTGCTTCCCTTGGCTGTGCATCTGCAAGACAACCAATTGCTGTCATGTATTACACTTGAAATGGCGCCTGAGTGACTGGAGTTCTGCTTCAGCACACACAATTCACGATGGAGGCTGGTCAGAGGTAGCCAAGAGTTGGATGGTGCATGATGATGAAAAGTTGTCAGTGATGGTAGCAAAGAATTGGTGGTGATGGCCAGGTGAGTCAGAAGAAAGAGATGGAGAGTGGTTAGGGGAAAAAGATAGACAGGAAGGGGGGAAAGATTGGTTGGCAGTGGTGAGAGCAAAAGGATAGGGAGGCAGGCAAGAAAAGGGGGTTGGGTGAAATCTTGCTTAGAATGATGCTATAGTGCATATAGCAGTCTCAGCACCAGCAGCGTCACTCTGAAGTGTCTGAGCCTGATTGAGAATCAGAGAATGACAAAACTAAATATTAAAGTACTTCTGCAGTAGCATAAGGAGGCACTTTTTTAAAGTGGTTATTGTAATTAGACACGCATTCTCAAAATGAGTTTAATTTATGCTAATCAGTAAAATGTAGTGCAATGGGTTACAAAGGCAGCATCTCAAAGCTTCTGGAGTGCAACAGAATGAGAATAGTATTGCCCAAGGAGGAGGCGAACCTCAGAGTTCTACACCACTCTCCATAAAGGGCATAAAG